ACCCATATACTCACACAGAGACCCATAGTCTCACACAGAGACCCACAGACTCCCACAGAGACCCATAGACTCGCACAGAGACCCATAGACTCACACAGAGACCCATAGACTCACACAGAGACCCATAGTCTCACACAGAGACCCACAGACTCCCACAGAGACCCATAGACTCACACAGAGACCCATAGACTCACACAGAACCACAGACTCACACAGAGACCCATAGACTCACACAGAGACCACAGACTCACACAGAGACCCACAGACTCACACAGATACCCATAGACTCACACAGAGACCCATAGACTCACACAGATACCCATAGACTCACACAGAGACCCATATACTCCCAGAGACCGTGGTCTCGCATAGAGACCCATAGACTCACATAGAGACCCACAGACTCACACAGAGACCCATAGACTCACACAGAGACCCATAGACTCTATAGAGACCCAGAGTCTCACACAGAGACCCACAGACTCACACAGAGACCCAGAGTCTCACACAGAGACCCATAGACTCACACAGAGCCACAGATTCACACAGAGACCCACAGACTCACACAGAGACCCTAGTCTCACACAGAGACCCATAGTTCACACAGAGACCCACAGACTCACACAGAGACCCATAGTCTCGCATAGAGACCCACAGACTCACACAGAGACCCATGTCTCACACAGAGACCCATAGTCTCACACAGAGACCCACAGACTCACACAGAGACCCATAGTCTCGCATAGAGACCCACAGACTCACAGAGACCCATAGTCTCACACAGAGACCCATAGTCTCACACAGAGACCCACAGACTCACACAGAGACCCATAGTCTCGCATAGAGACCCACAGACTCACACAGAGACCCATAGACTCACACAGAGACCCACAGACTCACACAGAGACCCACAGACTCACACAGTACCATAGACTCACACAGAGACCATAGACTCACACAGATACCCATAGACTCACACAGAGACCCATATACTCACACGAGACCCGTGGTCTCGCATAGAGACCCATAGACTCACATAGAGACCCGTAGTGTGCGCATAGAGACCATAGAGACCCATAGACTACATAGAGACCCACAGACTCACACAGAGACCCATAGACTCACACAGAGACCCATAGTCTCGCATAGAGACCCACAGGAGGGCGGTGGGATATTTCCGCTTGTTGAGCGCAGGAGGAACGCTGCGCATCAGGGACGTGAGTGTTAGCCACTCGGGCTGTACCGGTGCAACGCGAGCAACCGCGTGGGCTGGAGGTCGTGCGTCGTCCTGCTGTCCGTCGTGAACGTGAGTCCGACTCTCGCTACGCCCACACGCGCGTGTGTTGTGTACGTGTGTGGTGCGCGCGGTGTGTGTGTGTGTGTGGTGTGTTGTGTGGTGTGTGGCTGTGTGTGTGGTGTGTGGTGTGTGAGTGTGTGGTGTGTGTGTGTGGGTGGTGTGTGTGCGTGGTGTGTGTGATGATGGTGTGTGTGTGCGTGTGCGTGTGTGTTGTGTGTTGAGTGTGTGTGTGCGTGTGTGTGTGTGTGCGTGTGTGTGTGTGTGCGTGTGTGTGTGTGTGCGTGTGTGTGTGCGTGTGTGTGTGTGATGCGTGTGTGTGTGTGTGCGTGTGTGGTGTGATGCGTGTGTGTGGTGTGATGCGTGTGTGTGTGCGTGTGTGTTGGTGTGCGTGTGTGTGTGTGCGTGTTGGTGTGTGTGTGCCGCGTGTGTGTTGCGTGCGTGTGTGTGTGCGTGTGTGCGTGCGTGTGTGTGTGCGTGGTGTGTGCGTGTGTGTGTGCGTGTGATGTGTGCGTGTGTGTGTGCGTGTGTGTGTGTGTGATGTGTGCGTGTGTGTGTGTTGATGTGTGCGTGTGTGCGTGTGCCGCGTGCAGCGAGCAGTGACGCCGGCCTCGTGCCGGGCGCCCTGATGGGCCGTGCTGCTCGTCGTCGCTGCGACCGGCTTCCTCCTCTGGTACCGGCTGCTCAAGCGCAAGCCGGGGCGGCACCACGACCGTCGCAACGACGTCTGGTGACGGCCCACCCGCTCCCCTCGCACACTCGCCCACTCACACTCACTCACTCGCTCGCCCACTCGCTTACTCACTCACTCACCCATTCACTCACCCATTCACTCACCCACTCACTCACCCACTCACTCGCTCACCCACTCACTCACCCACTCACTCGCTCACCACTCACTCACCCACTCAGTCACTAACTCACCTACTCACTCACTCACTCACCCACTCACTCAACCCACTCACCCACCCACTCACCCACTCACCCACTCACTCACCCACTCACTCAACCCACTCACCCACCCACTCACCCACTCGCTTACTCACTCACTCACCCATTCACTCACCCATTCACTCACCCACTCACTCACCCACTCACTCACTCACTCACCCACCCACTCGCTCACTCACTCGCTCACCCACTCACTCACCCACTCACTCGCTCACCCACTCACTCACCCACTCAGTCACTAACTCACCTACTCACTCACTCACTCACCCACCCCACTCACTCAACCCACTCACCCACCCACTCACCCACTCACCCACTCACTCACCCACTCACTCAACCCACTCACCCACCCACTCACCCACTCGCTTACTCACTCACTCAACCCCACTCACCCCACCCACTCACCCACTCCCCCGCTCGCCCACTCACCACTCACCCACCCACTCGCTCACCCACCCACTCGCTCACCCACTGACCCACTCGCCCACTCACTCGCTCACCCACTCACTCGCTCACCCATGACCCACTCGCCCACTCACTCGCTCACCCACTCACTCACCCACTCACTCGCTCACTCGCCCACTCATCCACTCACCCACTCACCCACTCACCACTCACCACTCACTCACCCACTGACCCACTCACCCACTGACCCACTCACCCACTGACCCGCTTGCCCACTCGCCCACTCACTCGCTCAACCCACTCACCCGCTCACTCGCTCACCCACTCACCCACCCACTCACCCACTCACCCATTCACTCACCCATTCACCCACTCACCCACCCACTCACTCACCCACTCCTCGCTCACTCGCCACTCATCCACTCACCCACTCACCCACTCACCCACTCACTCACCCACTGACCCACTCACCCACTGACCCACACTCACCCACTGACCGCTTGCCCACTCGCCCACTCACTCGCATCACCCACTCACCCGCTCACTCGCTCACCCACTCACCCACCCACTCACCCACTCACCCATTCACTCACCCATTCACCCACTCACCCACCCACTCACTCACACCATTCACTCACTCAACCCACTCACCCACCCACTCAACCCATTCACTCACTGACCCAATCACCCACTGACCCACTCAACCACTCACCCACTCACCCACTGACCCACTCACCCACTCACCCACTCACCCACCCATCTCTCTGCTCCCTCCCCTCCCCTCCCTCCCTATCTCCCTCCCTCCCTCCGCTCTCTCTGCTTTCTCCCTCCCTCCCCTCCCTCCCTCTCTCCCTCCCTCCCTCCGCTCTCTCTGCTCCCTCTCTCGCCTCCCTCCCTCCCTCGCCTCCCTCACCTCCCTCACCTCCCTCCCTCACCTCCCTCCCTCCCTCCGCTCTCTCGCCTCCCACCGCAGGATGGACGACTGCCTCCCCGCGCCGACGAGCCTCCCGCCCGCGACCCACGACCCGCCCAGCACCCGCACCTCCATCGGCTCTGCGGCGACGCCCTCCGACGGCCTCCTGGCGGCTCTGCGACGCCCGGCCCCGGGCGGGCCGACGGGCCCCGGCGGGCCGAGGGGCGCCCCCCCGGGCAGGCCGCCCTACGAGCGAGCGGACGGCCGCGTGATGGAGTAGAGCGGCGTGTGAGAGCGCCGCTCGCAAGGCAGCGGCGGCAGCGGCGGCGACGACGGGGCTCGGGCCTCGGGGCGAATCCGCCGCGGTTCCGTCGACATCGCCCCCATCGCCACTTCCCCGTCTCGTGCGCCCGATATTAGGAAGCCAACTGGAGCTTGAAGTTTTCGTGACTGCAAGGATCCGTACTCTTTGGTTCGTTCGGTAAGGTCACGATTGAGAACCAATTTCTCTAGAAGTGATTCTTGTGTTTGGTTTTGTTGTCCTTCCAACGCACCTCCGATCAGCACGGCCGACTACGTGCGGTGCGGAAAAAACTCCACGCACACGCGCGCACGCCATTTCAGTTGGTCTGTCGGCAAAAAACCGGAATGTTGACGTCGCGAGCACAAACTCCGACAATATTACACGTACGACGTGTCGCTGGAGATTACCGCCTGCGTCGTCGTCACCGCCGCCACCGCCGCCGCCACGTGTTTAACAAACGCTTAGTTCTCGCGTGAGCTGAACTTTAGTAAAATTGGCGCGTGAAAGAAGACGCGTAGGCGTTAGGCAAAGTTTGTTTTTATATGCGGAGGCAGAATAGAGTTGCGCTCGTTGCTTTCTCGCGCCAGACGCCCCGTCTCGTGTAGCAGCGGCCCCTTGGTGGAGGGGGGCGGAGGGGGGGGCGAGCGAGAGACCGCGATTGGTCGGCAGGGGGCCGTCTGATCCCTTGAGGCTCGATTGTATTAGAGAATAGTTGTACGTATACACTTATTTTTTTACGATGCTTTTCATCGTAGCAAATGTAACGCTCCCTCCCCGCCACCCCCCGCCACCCCCTAGTGCAATAAATGTTATTGGCGCGAATCGGTAAATGGTATTCTTAGGTTTTTTTCGGTAAAGTCACCGTGTAGGTAAAACATCAAAATTAATAAAAATAAATAAAATAAAACAAAAATCACGACGTTTCGGAGGCAACACAAGTCTCCGTCATCAGGTGGGACCGTGATTTTTGTTTTATTTTATTTATTTATTTATTAATTTTAATGTTTTACCTACACGGTGACTTTACCGTAAAAACCTAAGAATATGAACCCTTGCAGTCACGAAAGCTTCAAATCTACGGTAAATGGTACTCCGGAGAGAGAGAGAGAGAGAGTGGGTAGCGGTGGGGTGGGTGGTGGTGGTTCCAGATAGATGTGCGATCACGATTTAAAATGTTTAAACGCGTAGCTCCGGTAGCGCATGTACCGCGCGTGCCTCTCTCGCCCCGCCCTCCACCCCGACGCGCGATCGGCTGACGGTGGAATCGGCGGCGGGGTGAGCGAGCGAGCGAGCTAGTCGGGCAAAAAAGGTTTGTTCAGTTGTCGGGGGTTCGGATTAGAGAATCAAATCTTTAAAATCCGCCGTTTTTTGCTTTTTTATGTTTTTTTTGCGCATTTTGACCTCGCGGCGATCGCGAGCTAAACGAGGGGGGCGTGGCTTGCTGGGGTGGGCGGGGCACGGCGAGGGGGGGTTTCCTGCCTTCGCGAGTCACGAATTGGCTTGTCGCAGGGACTCCCTCTACTCGCGAGCGAATTCGTCTTCCGGAGGTCTGTCGGTTTGTCAGCGAGCCGGTGTTTTTTTTTAAATCCTTTATATTAAGTTCACTCGCTTGCTTGCTTAGGACCGTGCAAATCTTTCGGTCGTTTTTTAACCCACTTTCCGTGATCCAATCGAGCTGACATTTTGCACACAGACTCGTTGTGCGTGACAATGCATTTTCGTGAGAAAAAAAATTCCAAAATTTTACACTGTTTAGGAAAATATATATATATTTAATTACCAATTGTTTAATGCTGCCAGACAATCATCTGACCTATAGGTGGCAGCCGTCTCAAGCCAGAGGACGAGAGGACTCTAGCCGCCCCGATTCCACGCATATAAAGGATTTGTAGTGAAAAACTTTGTTTTTACGGGTTTTTCTTGTTTACGAGCCGAACGGTGCCACGTTCCGCAAGATAACGGCGCGGGGACTTGCCGTGTCGCTGTGGAGTTTCGTGTCAAACTGAGGGGGGTGGGGGGGGCGGTGGGGGGGTGGGGGGACCCGCATTGAATAGAGAAGGGGGGAGGAGTGGGGGGGTATTTGCCTCTTGAGGTCTGGAAGTTTCTCCGGCCTTGCCTCGGGCAAAGCCTGTCAGCGTCGCACGCAATGACGCCGTCGCCTCGGCCAACAAGGTTTGTTTTAGATTTGAAGCTTTCGTGACTGCAAGGATTCATACTCTTAGGTTTTTCGGTAAAGTCACCACGTAGGGGAGACAGCGTCTGAATGCTAATCCTGCATAATGCACGGGCATAAGTAGTACTAGTCACATTCCTGCATTTCCCATAAATATGCTAAATGACTCTTGATAAGCAAATTCTTTTGTCAAGGCGCCCAGCTTATATATATGCTCCAAGCCCGTGTGCTGTTTCATTCAGACGCTGTCTCCCCGACAGACCTGGTTTTCACCTGAGGACGGCTGCTTGCGTTGTGGCCGAAACGTCGTGAAAATTATTTTATTGTTTTATTTTTCTTATTTTATTATTTCCCTTCTACGTAACTTTACCAAAAGGACCAAGAATACAAATAAAACCCTCAAGGCCGTTCTGTGTCTCTCGTGTCTCTCCGTGTCTCTCGTGTCTCTCCGTGTCTCTCCGTGTCTCTCCGTGTCTCTCGTGTCTCTCCGTGTCTCTCCGTGCGTTTGCTGCGCGTAGAGCGACCCACGTCACAGACTCGCGCGCTGTCTTCCTTTCTCTTCGCCGCCCGCCCTTCTCTGTCTCTCCTCCTCCTCTCGTCTCCTCCCTGTTCTGTAGATGCCACTGGTTCTTCACGTTCTGCAGATGTAGATGCCACTGGTTCTTCACGTTCTGCAGATGTAGATGCCACTGGTTCTTCACGTTCTGTAGATGCCACTGGTTCTTCACGTTCTGCAGATGTAGATGCCACTGGTTCTTCACGTTCTACAGATGTAGATGCCACTGGTTCTTCACGTTCTACAGATGTAGATGCCACTGGTTCTTCTCGCTCTGTAGATGTAGATGCCACTGGTTCTTCATGTTCTGCAGGTATAGATGCCACTGGTTTCTCACGTTCTGTAGATGTAGATGCCACTGGTTCTTCACGTTCTGTAGATGTAGATGCCACTGGTTCTTCATGTTCTGTAGATGTAGATGCCACTGGTTCTTCACGTTCTACAGATGTAGATGCCACTGGTTCTTCACGTTCTGCAGATGTAGATGCCACTGGTTCTTCACGTTCTGCAGATGTAGATGCCACTGGTTCTTCACGTTCTGTAGATGCCACTGGTTCTTCACGTTCTGCAGATGTAGATGCCACTGGTTCTTCACGTTCTACAGATGTAGATGCCACTGGTTCTTCACGTTCTACAGATGTAGATACCACTGGTTCTTCACGTTCTGCAGATGTAGATGCCACTGGTTCTTCACGTTCTACAGATGTAGATGCCACTGGTTCTTCACGTTCTACAGATGTAGATGCCACTGGTTCTTCACGTTCTGCAGATGTAGATGCCACTGGTTCTTCACGTTCTGCAGATGTAGATGCCACTGGTTCTTCACGTTCTGTAGATGCCACTGGTTCTTCACGTTCTGCAGATGTAGATGCCACTGGTTCTTCACGTTCTACAGATGTAGATGCCACTGGTTCTTCACGTTCTACAGATGTAGATACCACTGGTTCTTCACGTTCTGCAGATGTAGATGCCACTGGTTCTTCACGTTCTACAGATGTAGATGCCACTGGTTCTTCACGTTCTACAGATGTAGATGCCACTGGTTCTTCACGCTCTGCAGATGTAGATGCCACTGGTTCTTCACGTTCTGCAGATGTAGATGCCACTGGTTCTTCACGTTCTGTAGATGCCACTGGTTCTTCACGTTCTGCAGATGTAGATACCACTGGTTCTTCACGTTCTACAGATGTAGATGCCACTGGTTCTTCACGTTCTACAGATGTAGATACCACTGGTTCTTCACGTTCTGCAGATGTAGATGCCACTGGTTCTTCACGTTCTACAGATGTAGATGCCACTGGTTCTTCACGTTCTACAGATGTAGATGCCACTGGTTCTTCACGTTCTACAGATGTAGATGCCACTGGTTCTTCACGTTCTACAGATGTAGATGCCACTGATTCTTCACGTTCTACAGATGTAGATACCACTGGTTCTTCACGTTCTGCAGATGTAGATGCCACTGGTTCTTCTCGCTCTGCAGATGTAGATGCCACTGGTTCTTCACGTTCTGTAGATGTAGATGCCACTGGTTCTTCTCGCTCTGGAGATGTAGATGCCACTGGTTCTTCGTGTTCTGCAGATGTAGATGCCACTGGTTCTTCACGTTCTGCAGATGTAGATGCCACTGATTCTTCACGTTCTACAGATGTAGATGCCACTGATTTTTCACGTTCTGCAGATGTAGATGCCACTGGTTCTTCACGTTCTGCAGATGTAGATGCCATTGGTTCTTCACGTTCTGCAGATGTAGATGCCACTGGTTCTGCAGATGTAGATGCCACTGGTTCTTCACGTTCTACAGATGTAGATGCCACTGGTTCTTCACGTTCTACAGATGTAGATACCACTGGTTCTTCACGTTCTGCAGATGTAGATGCCACTGGTTCTTCACGTTCTACAGATGTAGATGCCACTGGTTCTTCACGCTCTGCAGATGTAGATACCACTGGTTCTTCACGTTCTGCAGATGTAGATGCCACTGGTTCTTTATGTTCTGCAGGTGTAGATGCCACTGGTTTTTCTCGCTCTGCAGATGTAGATGCCACTGGTTCTTCACGTTCTGCAGATGTAGATGCCACTGGTTCTTCACGTTCTGTAGATGTAGATGCCACTGATTCTTCACGTTCTACAGATGTAGATACCACTGGTTCTTCACGTTCTGCAGATGTAGATGCCACTGGTTCTTCACGTTCTGCAGATGTAGATGCCACTGGTTCTTCACGCTCTGCAGATGTAGATGCCACT